CTCCCGTGAGGAGAGATCCCGTGAGGAGAGCTCCCGTGAGGAGAGATCCCGTGAGGAGAGCTCCCGTGAGGAGAGATCCCGTGAGGATGCCAGTAAGTCCCTTCACTCTGCTTCGGATGGGAGCTGAAACGTGGAAGCTTGTTCCTGGGCGCCAACGCTACATGGTTTTCTTTCGGCAAGATGGGTGCCGCTGGAGTCTGTCTCAGCCAATCACCGCCTAACCTTTCCTCTAGCATATGGGCTCGATCCCAACGCTGCATTGCGGCCAAATCCGGCCACCGCACTGCAGACGTGGCCCCTGACCCCCCCCGATCTGCCCTGTCACCACGCCAACCGGCTTCCTCTCAGACGGTGGCCAGACTGACTACAGAATCTGGCATTGCCACGGCAACCACCAGGCTGTGCTAATCATACATTACTGTGAGACATGAGATAATGAGGCGTTTGCCATTTTGTTAATTGGCTTTCAAGGTAGAAATCTTTTCCACATGAATAGACAGGAGTTTTTCTCTGCAAAGCTCTCAGGGAACCGCACTGCTGCCAGCTGATATCACTGATATTAACGATACAAATACTACTGTTACTACTTCCATACTCTCCAGTACTATACCCCTTTAATGCTACTGTTACTACTTCCATACTCTCCGGTACTATACCCTTTTAATGTTACTGATATCAATGTCTGCTCAGTTCTTTTCCACTTATTTCAATTTATTGAAATGTCTTCAAAAGGACAAAAAGCGGATTTACTCCGTACTCTAAATTATAAGGATTTGTCTAGGAACTGCAGCTTAGAGAAGACAAACACTAGTGAAGAGCACAATATTCCCCCGGATTTACACAAGCTGCTTGCCAGTATAGGTTAAATTCCCCAGTAGCACTCTGTGGTCCCCTCAATGGGCAGTCACATCAGGAATTAAAGGTGAACTGGGGGGCAAACCAGTTACCCAATCACAATCACTGATCGTCGACCCTGAATGTTGCCTTTTCCTGAGTAACCCCCCCCCCCCACCACCCCACCTTGGGGTCGTGACCCTGCCTCAGACAAGGGGAGAGCGGACTGTCGGTGCTCAAACTGGACTCCATGGCTGCGTCTCTCAAACCCTTTAGCGCGGGATGGAAACTGTCTCCCAGAAGTCTTTGCTCTGGCTTGACAGGAAAGCAGAAGAAAATCACGTCGCAAACTAAACGTGTCGCCTGAACGTAGAGCTACTTCATTTGCAGGATAAAGGAGGGAAGCTCTCTGTAAAGCCAGCTCCGGTGTTAAGGACACAACAATGTCTCCTTCCCAGATGTTCTCTTAAGCCCACCTTAGTGCAGTAATCAGGCTGCCACCAGCGTGTTCCACTTCACCTCAGTGAAATTGAGTTCTGGTCTGAACTCTGTTCAAACTAAAATATTTGCATATCTGGTCAGCCTATTGTCCCGAGAAGTTTATAGGAGTGGCCTGTACACAGTGTTTCTGTTGCTGTCCACTTTGTGTAGTTTTGCTCCTTGCACTCCAGAACACGCTGGCGCTAGTAAATTTGGTATGTTCCGGCTTTTATTGTGAGTTTATTAGAACTCGTTTTATTTTTATTTCAACATTTTCGCCAGCCAGTGGTAATTTTTCTGATTGATGAAATACTCAGTAGCTTTTAAAAGGGTATTTATTCCTCATTTGTGGTGAGTCCGTATGATTGTGGGTTTGGTCATAAAAAACAAAATGTAAAAAGTTGCTCTGCTGCTCAGTGTCAAGTTAAAATGTAGAACTTGATGTAGTTTATGTATCACTGATATTAAATGTGGTGTAGCACTGATATCCAATGTGGTGTAGCACTGATATCCAATGTGGTGTAGCACTGATATCCAATGTGCTGTAGCACTGATATCCAATGTGCTGTAGCACTGATATCCAATGTGGTGTAGCACTGATATTCAATATGCTGTAGCAATGAAATCCAATGTGGTGTAGAACTGATATCCAATGTGCTGTAACACTGATATCCAATGTGCTGTAGCACTGATATCCAATGTGGTGTAGAACTGAAATCCAATGTGGTGTAGAACTGATATCCAATGTGCTGTAGCACTGATATCCAATGTGCTGTAGCACTGATATCCAATGTGGTGTAGCGCTGAGGAGGGAGTGGCACCCATCATGTGTTAAGTCTCCATGGGACCAGCACAGACACAGAGGGGTACAGGCTTCTCTGCGCAGAGAGGATCAAGCGTCCCCCTCCCTAATCAGCTGACTCTGGTCCCTAATGATGTGCTTTTTGATGTCCTGTCATAAAGACTGAAGGAGAATGTTGAATATGTGTAGAATTTTTGATGCCTCTATTTACCGTCTTAATAGAATACAGCCTTTTAGATGTAGCCATAAAACAGCTTTATGACTGTATTATCCGAACCCCTGCTGTCACACTGTAATGCCCCATGTGCTGAATGAGAGCTTGTGTGTGTGACTTGAGGCTGGCCCAGAAAGAATCAAAGCGAGCACAGGGAAGGGCTGCTGTCATGCACAGAGAGCACAGGGAAGGGCTGCTGTC